GAGCCACCGTGCCCAGCCAAGGGGAAACATTTTTGAAGGAAGGAAAAGAGTATTAGATAGCTATTGTCACAATAAAGCTGTGTAACCAACCAACCAACCCAAAAGGCACTTATGAGTCTGTGGTCAGCTGGGGTGGCTCTGCTTTGGGATGCAGTTTGTAGGCTGGCTGGGTAGCTCTGTTCAACATGTCTTTCGTTCTTCCTGGACTGGTGGGCTATGCTGGGCATGTTCTTCTCGTGGCGATACCAGAGAGGCAAGAGAGCAAGCCCAATGATGTAAGTGCATTTCAGGCGTCTGCTTAACATTTGTCTATCCCATTGGCCAGAGCAAGTCACATGGCTGAGCCCAAAGTCAAGAGTCAGAGACTACACCCTGCCCGTAGTGGGAGGAAGTGCAAAATCACATGGAAGAGTGAAAAACTGGGAATAATAATGCAAAGAACTGCAGACAAATATTCACGTAGGTCTGTACTCTAACATTTTGTGAAGACCTGGGTTAAGGGTATGAAAGGGAGCCCATTTCCCCTTTTCATCCTATTCCTTGATTCCATATAGCATCTGGGGTCAACAATGTCAAATCATAGAGAACAGGTAGGATGAAGACCAGAAAAATGTCTTTGGATTTGGCAATTAGAAAGTTTAGGATCACCTTAGCAAAGTTGTTTCACTGGAGTGTTTTGAGTTAAGACGTTAAGAAGAAAGTGGGAGGTGAAGAGGAGGAGTGTAAAATACATTTCCACGTGGTGAAGAGAATGGAGGAACTGTGATAGTTTAGGGAAGCAAGGTTGAGGGGATGGATTTTTGCTGGAAAGACTCAAGCTTGTGTTTACTGACCATGGTAAAGCAAAAAGGGGAAGCTGTAAGAAGGAAGAGAGATGATTGCAGGAACTGTCAGAGAGAAACAGGAAGCAACTTCTTCCAGAAGAGAAGTTGACTTTGGAAAGTAATAGAAATCCCCATTCTTCTTACAAAGAGGATGAGGAGGAGTTGGATGAAAAGACAGTGAAGGGGAGGAAGGATGAGGACTTACTAGTGGCTGGTGGTCCTGTCAATGAAGCGGGAGGCAAAGATATCTTCTAAGAATGAGCAGGATGGGGAACAGAGTTAGGGTCTTATGTAGGGAAGAAAGGATTATAAATGGATTCTATGAGCAGGAATAGAAGTCAAATGATGGGTGAGCAGCCCTGAGGGCCCAAATGATATTGAGTAACATAAACATGTCCTAGTGCTAGTTGCCATGGACATGTTTGTCTTATTTTCCCCACTATAACAGAAAAGGGAGAGATTGGCAATACAGACCTGAATGAATGAATGAATGAATGAATACAACTGCAATAAAACGTAGAGTATCCAATAACAGATGCACGACAATAAATGATGCTGTACAAAATCCTTTGGAGAATCCACCAGATTTAAGCTTGTTTTTGAACTTCATGGTGGTAGGAAGTGCTCCTTAAAATTTTTGCTTTACAAACATTTACTCTTTGATTCAACCCACCACCACTATGACCACCTTCCCTCACTGATTCACCAAAAACTGGGTAATTGTCTTACTTGTTTTTATTAAGCTTTCCTAAATGTATGTATAGCTCACATTTATTTCAATTTTAAGTATTAGAAGTGTTTCAGGTCTTTATTTAGAACTATAGTGATGTTTTTGTGATCAGAAATATGCCATAAGAACTGAACTCTTGTTTATATCAATTAACCTACGGTAAAATTGGTTTCATTTTAGTTTCTCTTAAAATCGCAGTTTCCAAGAACCTATTGACAACGTTAAGTGAAGACTTACTGTACTAAAGTAAAAGATGAGGCTGTGAATGTATTGCCAATGTGGCGTGAGGAACCTGCCCGAGATAGTTGGGATCCATGAGGTCAGAGTGTTGGGTGGGTTATCCACGTCGATATTGAAGTATCTCAGGATGATGGCAGAGAATGAGGTACAGAGGGAAACTGTGAGCTAAGTGGTAAAATTCCTGAGGAATATGGACATGAGTAGATCATCATGGCACAACCTGCTGCCCTAGACTTCAAAGAAGAGTTGAGAAATCAAGGTGTTGGAACAACAGTTTAGAAGTGGCAGTGGGAAGCAGTGAGAACACTGATGCTGTACATCTACCAATGCAGAAGAGAAAACCAGTTTAAGTAAGTGGAAGGGTGTGGCTTTGTGAAGAGGTCTGCCAGCTGATTTGGAAGGAGTTTTGGAAATGATACAATCTATTATACTAAGGTGGAAGCAGCTGCAGAAAGGCAGAACGATTGTCTTAAGCTCACACAATAAGCTCGTGGCAGCGGAGGGAGTGGGTGGGGACAATATGGGCTATTGGTTAGGAAATAAGCCTTTGAATCAGATGGACCTGGTTTGAATACCAGCTTTATTATTTACTGGCTGTGAGATGTGGGGTACTACCTAATATCTCAGCTTTCTCGTCTGCAAAGTGGGACGCATAATAGCTACTGAAAAGGACTGTTGTAAGGATTTAAGGAGGTGATGTATGTGAAGTGCTTACTTTGTGTATCTTACCTGGCACATAGAAAGTGCTCAATACATTTTAACTGGTAATGGTGGAACTGAATCAAAAGAACCCTGACTCTCAGTTCTGAGCTTTTCTGGTCATTCCACACTAACCTGACAGTCTCTTTATTTGGAGAGAATGTCAGAGAATGTCTCTCTATTAACATTAGGCAGCCCATCTTCACTGGAGTTTTCCTGTACTACTCACTCCAGACTCCTTGTCAGTAAGATAGTGGGCCTCTGGCCTCTGCGGAGGCTCCGAAAAACTGCTGACATTGGTAGAAGGTAGTTTAATCACTACTATACATATCTGGTCTACATACCAGTTTGCTTCCTGTGATGGCTGAAAAACTTTTTGCTGAGTGAGATGCTAAAATGGGTGCCTGATGGGACCCTCTGTCATGTATTTCAAGGAATCTTTAGAAATGTGAAATCCTCCATACTCTCCTTCTTCCTCTTACATCTGTCTGGAATTGTTTAAGCATGAGTAATGAAATAAAATGAGGACAGCCACAGATTATCTAGAAACAGACAGGTTTAGCAACTTGTCTGGTTCTTGGCAAACTAGGACTTATAGTCCATTCTCCTCATATTGGTTTGTTTATTTTTAAAATGTATTCTCATGAAATAACTACCATTTTTATTGAAAAAGCAATACATTCACCAGAGAAATAATTCCGAAGTGCCAATCATATATAATTAAAAATTACCTTGTTCCTACTTCAGGTCCCTTACTTCCAATCCTACTCCTGGCTGCCACTACTGTTAAAAGTTTTTTTGGTAACTTTTCAGAAATTTTCTATTTTTGTAATATTTTATGTATATGCAAGCACATATATGAGTACTTATTGTTTAAAAAACACACAATGGCATAATCTATAAATTGTTTCATGCCTTGCTTTTCTCCACTCAACACTACGACTTGGAGATAGTTTTATATCTGAATATAGTCGTTTGTCTTTCTTTTTAATGATTGTGTAGTAATCATAGTATGGCTGTAGCTCAAATTATTTAGCCTTAACTTCCAGTTTGGTTCTTCTGACGTGTCTTTTTTTGTTGGGTGGCAACACTATTTTCCCAGTCCTTTGACTGTAAACCTTGGAGTCATACCCATCCTCCTCCTTCCCGGTTTCTAGTAAATCCTGCCAATTTCTCTTTTATAACGTTTTTCCTGTGTGTCCATTATTTTTCATTCTCATTGGCGCCTCCCTGGTTTAAGCCTTATCATCTCTTATAGCATCTTCCTAGCTCCAAATTCTCTATCTCTGCACATCTTGCACGTCTGTTCTTGACTCAATTTCCTAATGCTAAGGTTCTGCTTGTGTCAGTCCTCTTCTTAAAAAGCTCCTGTAGCTTCCCATTCATTGTGTTACATAAAAACTCAAGCACTGATCAATAAATCTGATTTTTATGTTGTAATCCAGATAGTTTATGAAATGCAGATGCCTTGATCAGAATCTCCATATATAGGACCTTTAGCCTGTATTAAAAACCAAAAATGTTTCCTTGGCTGGGGGCAGTGACTCATGCCTGTAATCCCACACTTTGGGAGGCTGAGGTGGAAGGATCACTTGAGGCCAAGTGTTGGAGGCCAGCCTGGGCAACATAGCAAGACCCCATCTCTATAAAAAATTAAAAAACTATTCCAGCATGGTGGTGCAGTATGGTGGTGCATGCCCCTAGCCCTGGCTACACGGGAAGCTGAAGCAGAAGGATCACTTTAGCCCAGGAGTTTGAGGCTGCACTGAGCTATGATCATGTCACTGCACTCCAGCCTGGGCAACAGGGAAAAACGCTGTCTGAAACAAACAAACAAACAAACAAAAGTTTCCAGGCCCTTCTGATGCAGTTTGTTGTTGGACAAGTGGAACTATTACAATAAACTACACACTTCTCAGCCCAATATTTAAGGCTCCTCACAATTTCTCTCTAAGGTACCTTTCCAGCCCCATCTCTTACTTCTATACTTTTTTACACGTCAGTGCAAATAAAATTCTTGTCGGCTGTCTGGATGCTTCTCACATCTTCTAGCCACGCTTTTTAACCTTCCAAAGCCAATCTCTTTACGAAGCCGTTGCAGCCAATAGAGGTCCCTGAACTCGATTCTCTGAACTGGCTTTCAGCCACATTCTGCTCTGTATCATAGTTTTGTTTTCTGCAGGTCTCCGCGTGTCCCCCCACAAGACTGTAAGATCTCTGTCCCCAGAACCTAGTTAGTCCTTATTACTCACGCCTACAGAGCCTTTTGCACTTAGTGAGAAAGGTGTTAAACAAGAATTTGTGGGATTAGGGCCATTGCCTGACTTGGTCATCACTGTATATGCAGTGTCGTTAACTCTTTCTGGTTTATAGCTGGCTTTCAACACGTATTTGTGGATTCAAAGAGTAAATGAACAAAACTCAGCTTAACATTGTCCGGAGAACTACAAATCCCAGCGGACATTGCGCGGAACGACGGAGGGCGCGGTGACGCAAGGGGGCGTGCCGAGTCTGAGGGAGGGGTCGTCCTGCGGGTAGCCGGAGGCTGGGGTAACTGTGGAGCCTAGGGTGAGAGAGGGAGTGTTGGGGAGCGAAAGGTGAGCCGAGCTGAAGTGGGGGACGCGCTGCTCGGTACCCCCAGTCTATGGAGCGGGGTAAGATGGCGGAGGCTGAGAGCCTGGAGACAGCAGCAGAGCACGAGCGAATCTTGCGAGAGATCGAGAGCACCGACACGGCCTGCATCGGGCCCACGCTCAGGTACCCCGGGTACCGGGACCACCAACGGGCTGGCACGGCCGGGACGGGGGGCGGGCTCCTTTGGGTCAGTGCCCGGCCGGCCGCCCCGAGGGCCGGAGCCGGTCCCTCCCTTTGGAGAGACCTACTGGCGATCTGCAGCCTGGGCTAGGCGGGTCTCCCTATGCAGCCCCGACGCGGGGTCCCTTCTCGACCGCCGGCGCCCCACAGTCCAGTTACTCTGGAGGCTCCTCCCTCGGGGCTAAAGCAGCCTTCGTTCTCCCTCCGAGGCTAGCCCAACTCCGGGGAGCGAGAGTGCACCCGACAGATGGTGGCTTCTAGCAGATCTTGCCCCTGGGGACATCACCCTTTTCCCTCCGACTCAAACCCCGTCCAGCCCTAGATGTAAGTCCTGCTCTTCAGGCAGAACAGAATTCCACCCCACGGTCTGTTCGACATTAAACTTTCGCCTGAAAAATCACAACCACTTCTGAGAAACGAGTCCCTGAAAATCCTAGGCCCTAGATGGAAGTTTCCCTCAACCCGCGCCCCTTTTCTGAGAGCTGCTGCTCCTTGAACCCAGTTAAGAAAATGACCCTCCCTCGGGTGCAGCCTCAGGGTATTCTCATCGCTGAGGAAAATTTACCCCGCTCCCGCCCCCAAGTTACCATTACTTTGCACGCACATCTCCATTTTTTTTGTAGATGTCAAAACAAACCCCGACCTGTCTCAACTTATTTAACAAAATTTAAGTAGTACCTGTTATGTACAGTGACGACATTGTATTAAATGATTTACAAATATAACTTATTTAAACCACAAAACAATCTTATTAGGTGGGTACTCTTATTATTCTTATTTTACATATGAGGCACAGAGAGGTTAAGTGACTTGCCCAAGGTCACAAGGAAAAAAAAGTAGGGAACTCAGATTCCTACTCAAGCAGTCAGGATCCAGACTCTTAACCCCTGCTATTCTGCCTCAACTGGGGTTTACCATCTACCCGCACTTCCTGTCGATAATTGCTCAGCAAGCCCAATTTTGAACTACTTTTCCCTTTCCCCCCAGGTTACTGGTGTCCTAGAACTAATTCATCCTCATCCCTTCCTGTTGTTCATTCTGGTCTCCACACAGCCAATAGATAGATAATTATCTTACCTTCCTTGTACAATCTTGGATCACTGCTCCTTCCTTCAAAAAAGTTATTACTCACTGCCTGCTTTGTCATGGGGAGAGTTGGCTCATGAAAGGCTGATTGAAGGAAGGGCAGGCTACGGACTGCTCCTCATCTCCACTTGCACAGCTTCCTTCTGCAGGGCACATTTTAAGAATTTAGTTTTCTCTTGGTATCTGTGGGGGATTGGTTCCAGGACACCCTGCAGATACTCAGATCCATGGATGCTCATGTCCTTTATATAAAACGGTGTAATATTTGCATGTAACCTATGCACATCCTCCTGTATATTTTAAATTATCTCTATATTACTTATAATACCTAATACAATATAAATGATATGTAAATAGTTGTTATACTGTATTGTTTAGGGAATAATGACAAGAAAAAAAAGTCTGTGCATGTTTAGTACAGAAGCAACCATCCTTTTTTTTTTTTTTGAATAGTTTTTATCCAAGGTTGTTGTACCCATGGATACATAAGGTCAACTGTATATGCATTATGGTTCAAATATAAGTTAACCATTCCCCTTAAAATTTGTTTCATTATTACTGAGTTTTTTCCCACTGGAAAGTGGGGTTTTGTGGAGGTAGATGGATTGAGGAATATTTTTCCCCAAGGAGACACTGTAAAAAAAAGTTTGAAACTCACTGGACTGTCCTACCAGTTTTAGTTGCTTTTCCTGACTTCCTTATTATTAGGGGCTTTTCATTTTTAGTCTTATCTTTGGCAGGTAACCCTAAATCTTACTATCAGACCCAAAGTTCAATCACTTGAACATATTTATTTATTTATTTTTTTGGGGACAGAATCTCACTGTGTTGCCTGGGCTAGAGTGCTGTGGCGTCATCCTAGCTCACAGCAACCTCAAATTCCTGGGCTCAAGTAATCCTTTTGCCTCAGCCTCCCGAGTAGCTGGGACTACAGGCATGCGCCACCATGCCCGGCTAATTTTTTCTATGTATTTTTTAGTTGTCCAATTAATTTCTTTCTATTTTTAGTAGAGACGGGGTCTCGCTCTTGCTCAGGCTGGTTTCGAACTCCTGAGCTCAAACAATCCGCCCGCCTCGGCCTCCCAGAGTGTTAGGATTACAGGCGTGAGCCACCGCGCCCGGCCTACTTGAACATATTTTAATACAAGTAGTACTCGCTGTTTTTTTCTTTCATCTTGCTTTTCCATGCTCCTATTCATTCATAGGAGATGATCTCACCTTTTTTCCCTATCTTATTCAGAGGCAGCGGCATGCACAGACTTGATGTTTCAGATCCCATGCCTTACCCTGTATGTTCCTCTGTTGTCATCATCTCCTGCTTTTCCATCACAATCATTAAACAGATTTGATTAAGGCAGTAGGCTCTCTTCCCTTAACTACCCTCAACTATAAATCTCAAACTTCTCTCCCCCTCTTAATAGTATATCTTGCCTATTTCTCCCATCTTTTGAGGTGGCATTTTTAAGGCACCAAATTATTAGCTGTTCCTGAGATAGGTTTTCAAACTGAAAAGGAACTAAAGAACAGAGAATAATAGTAAATTGATAGCAGATATAAAATTAGTATACCCATCCCTAAAATTCCAGCTCTTTGAAAAAGTCCACTTTGGCTGCATTGCCTAACCAGACTCTTACGCCAGCTGTTATTTGTGTATCATTATTTGCTTTCTTTCCCTGCTGTGATACCAAATTATTTTTCTAATCTTACAACTTTTTGTTTGGGAAGTTACAGCGGCTTGACTTTTTCATTATATGACTATTCTTATTTTAGTCTTGAACTGTATGTGCAGTGTTGGTAGATTCCCACCTTTCCTTTTTCATTATAATTCTGAAATGCCCAAGCATATCTACACCTATAGATGCTGTTGCCTAGCAAATTCTTTTCAGAAAGCAGCCATCTCTTTCTTCTCTGTCTTCATCTTAAAAATTATTTTGTTAGTCCTAATTTTGGAAAGAGGCCCATAAGACATTAGGACCTGTCCTGTTTTTAAAATAGTATTGATTCTTGCTTTGTATCACAAATACTAAAATTTTTTTTTTTTTTTTTGAGACAGAGTCTCACACTTTTGCCTGGGCTAGAGTGAGTGCCATGGAGTCAGCCTAGCTCACAGCAACCTCAAACTCCTGGGCTCAAGGATCGCTCAAGCGATCCTTCTGCCTCAGCCTCCCTAGTAGCTGGGACTACAGGCATGTGCCACCATGCCCGGCTAATTTTTTTCCTATATATTTTTAGTTGTCCGATTAATTTCTTTCTATTTTTAGTAGAGACGGGGTCTCACTCTTGCTCAGGCTGGTCTCGAACCCCTGAGCTCAAACAATCCGCCCGCCTCAGCCTCCCAGAGAGCTAGGATTACAGGCGTGAGCCACCGCGCCCGGCCTCAAATACTAAAATTTTGATTACAAATCACTCATGAGTAATAGCTCCACGTTTTCATTTTTCAAATCCCATCTCTACATCTGTACTCTTCTTTCGTATCACTTACTGAATAGCAGTCATTTCCTGACTTTGCTCTCTCAGTAATAGCAGTTAACATTTAGTCTAATTGTTTTTAAGATTTTGTTTTCAAACTTTAAAATTTTACAGTGAAATACATTGCCATTTAACAAATACCTTTATTGAGGTATCATTCATATACAATGTACCCACTTAAAGTATACAATTAAATGGTTTTTAGTATGTATATTCATAGAATTGTGCAGCAATCACCGCAATCTAATTTCAGAACATTTTCTTCACCCCCCAAAGAAGTCCTATACCCATTAGAAGTCACTCTTGATTCTGTTCCCCCATTCTCCCCAGGTAATCACTATTTTCTTTCTTTATTGGTTTGCCTGTTCTACGTATCTGGACATTTTTATAAATAGAATCATACAATAAATGTTTTTTTGTAACTTAGCATAATGTTTTCAAGGTTCTTCTATGTGGTAGCATGTATCAGTATTTCATTTCTTTTTTTTGTTGAATAATATTCCATTGTGTGGATATACTACATTTTATTTTTCATTAGTTGATGGACATTTGGATTGTTTCCATTTGGGGCTGTGGAACAATGCTGCTATAACCATTTGTGTACTAGTTTTTGTGTGGACATGTTTTCATTTTTCTTGGATATATAGCTAGGAGTGGAATTTGTAGGCCATATGGTAACTCTGTTTAACATTGTGAGGAACTGCCAGACTGTTTTCCAAAGTGTCTGCACCATTTTACTTTCCATAGCAATGTATGAGGGTTCCAATTTCTCCACATCCTTGATAACACTTGTTATTATCTTTTTTATTTTAGCTACCCTTGAGGGTGTGAAGTTGCATTTCATTGTAGTTTTGATTTGCATTTCCCTAATAGCTGTTCTTTTCGTGCGTTTTTTGGTCATTGTTTATCTTCTTTGGATCCTTTGCCCATTTTTAAATTGGGTTATTTGTCTTTTTATTGTTGAGTTGTAGGAATTCTTGATACATTCTGAATATAAGTGTCTTATCATATATCTTATCAGATATATGATTTGCAAATACTTTATCCCATGTTGTAGATTGTCTTCTTACTTTTTTGATGTCTTTCACTTTTTTAACTTTTGTTACACTTAAGTTTTTAATTTTGATGACATCCACTTTATCTATTTTTTTCTTTTTTTGCTTATGTTTTTGGTGTTGTATTTAGGAAGCTTTCGTTTAACCCAAGATAATGAAGATTTGCTCCTATATTTTTTCTAAATGTTTTATAATTTTATCTTTTACATTTAGGTCTGTGATCCATTTTGAGTTAATTTTTGTATATGATATAAGGAAGGGTGTCCAGTTTTATCCTTTGGCATGTGAATATCCAGTTGTTCCAGCACATTTGTTGAGTACCATCTTTTTAAA